GACAGGGCACTGTTCAGCTCTTTATCTGAAGTATTTAACTGTTCAGTAGTAATGGCACAACATTGCTCCAATTAGATTGGATATTGTACAACTTAAGGCCACGAAGTGTTAAATGTGGTCTTTCTGAAATAAACAGGATAAAACAAGCATCAGTTTGCATCTGCTAAATGTAAATTACAGACATGTAAATAACAACTTGCTACTGACACGTTATACATGAATCAACATGACCAGGAAAGGATTAACAGTAGCTGAAGCACTGTGCAAGAGCCCGGATAGCTCAGACGGTTGTGTTTGAAGCTTGGCCTTTGCTGATCGCCACCAGACAAGAGAGCAGGAAGGGTGCAGCCAGACGTAGTCGTGGCCGAGAGGTTAAGGCGATGGACTCGTAAATCCATTGGGATCTCTCACACAAGTTCGAACCCTGCCGGCTACGGTTGGAGTTTTCTGTACCGCACTCTGTGGAGACAGTTGTGTCTTTTAAGGCCTTTGTCCTTTTTTTCTCTCTGCCATAATTGCTTGTGGTTTTCATCCCATAGCGCGTTGTCCAGTCCCTCTGAAATGGAGAAACACACCACTGGTGCTTTTTGTATTCAGTCTGCAGTAGTTGCCACGGGTGAGCCAGCGGCACGCCGTGATCATATAGTGGTTAGTACTCTGCGTTGTGGCCGCAGCAACCCCGGTTCGAATCCGGGTCACGGCATCCCTTTGCCGTTGAGCAATGGGGATGGCTGAGCCCTTTTTTCCACCTCATCCTTCAGCTGGATTTTGTGTTTGAAGCTTGGCCTTTGCTGATCGCCACCAGACAAGAGAGCAGGAAGGGTGCAACCTGAAGTAGTCGTGGCCGAGAGGTTAAGGCGATGGTCTTGAAATCCATTGGGGTCTCCCCGCGCAGGTTCGAATCCTGCCGGCTACGGTTGGAGTTTGCTGTACCGCACTCTGTGGAGACAATTGTGTCTTCTAAGGCCTTTCTCCTTTTTTTCTCTCTGCCATAATTGCTTGTGGTTTTCATCCCATAGCGTGTGTGGCAAATGAGTTTCTTCTGGGCGGTCTGTAGGTGTGTGGCAAATGAGTTTCTTCTGGGCGGTCTGTAGGAAAATTATATAAAACGTGCACTGTGCAACGTGCACTGTGCAAGAGCCCGGATAGCTCAGACGGTAGAGCATCAGACTTTTAATCTGAGGGTCCAGGGTTCAAGTCCCTGTTCGGGCGAAGTGCAGTCTTCTTGTTGCTTGCTGTCGTGTCGGTCCATCTATGCTGCTGTCTGTGGTGTTTCGGCCTGCTCCTGGGGACCTTGTGCATCTCCCTTGTTTGGCACACCTGATTCTGACAGTCAGCTCGTTAGGAAAGAGCGCTCATGAAGTGAACTGAGTGAGTAGAATAAGACAGACCTACGAAATGTGCAGTGCCGTGGGTCCCCAGGGCCAGTACTGAAAAACCCCATTCCAGAGGATGAGACATGGCAGCCTGATTTCTCCTCAGTGGGACCGCTGTTTTATCTGCTTGCAGGGCTAGCTTGTGGCAAATTAGTTTCTTCTGGGCGGCATGTGGGAAAACTGCTGTTATATAAAACGTAAGAGGAATGCATTGCAAAAGGGCCCGGAGAGCTCAGTCGGTAAAGCATCAGACTTTTAATCTGAGGGTCCAGGGTTCAAGTCCCTGTTTGGGCAAACTTCTGTCTTCTTGTTGGCGGCCTCATCTTGCTGTCATGTTGGTCTATCTATGCTGCTGTCTCTCTAATAGAGTGGTGTTCTGGCCTGCTTCTGGGGACCTTGTGCATCTCCCTTGTTTGGCACACCTGATTTTGATGGTCAGCTCCTTAGGATAGAGCGCTCATGAAGTGAACTGAGTGAGTAGAATAAGACAGACCTACGAAATGTGCAGTGCCGTGGGTCCCCAGGGCCAGCACTGAAAAACCCCATTCCAGAGGATGAGACATGGCAGCCTCAGTGGGACCGCTGTTTTATCTGCTTGCAGGGCTAGCTTGCAATCTCCGCTGGATGACTGAGCAGGCTAGGGCTATTTA